AGACGGCCCTGGGATCGGTGTCGCCAGGGCCCTTCGCTGGCCCCTCGGACCCTGTTAAAAGTTTGGCGCGACTTCCCGCCGGAAGCGCCGGGGCTCCGGGGCGCGGGCTCTCGGGCCCTGGCTGTGCCGCCTCGAGCGCATCACCAGCCTCTTGCTTCGTGCACATAAGTAACAATCCCGCAAACCCGGGAGAGCACGTCTGTGTGCCTGGCCCCGTGCTGGGAGCTGGGGGATAAAATGGGCAACAACACTGGCACGAATTCTGCTTTCCCTCCGATTGGATGATAGTCTGGGGAGAGACAATATATTAAACGTGTATCGCTCATGGAAGTAAGAAAAACTGGGGGCAAAGGAAGGGTGCTAAGGCCTTTCTCCAAGGATGAGAAGGAGAGAGCCCTGAGCAGAGAGGAGGCACGTGTGCTCTGCGTGTGCAGAGACCCGGAGGCAGGACTTGTTGCTGAGAGCGGGGCGCTGCAGAGGCCAGGGCGGGCAGGGCGTACAGGCTGCAGGCCCTGGTGAAGACCGTCATCGCCAGGGCAGTGGGATTCGCCGCTGCAGGATTTTAAGCAGAAGAGTGACAGGTCTGAGTTATGTTCTGTGGTCAAAGGATGGGAGAGTGGGAGGGCTGCCTGAAATTGGGGGAACTAGTTAGGAAGCAAAACACACCAAAAAAAGGAGCTTGGACCAAGTAGGAAATGTAAAGAAATGAACTGACGCAAACTACAACCTGGCAGTAGGATCAAGCTAATTAGGTGACAGATAACTCACCTTCTATTGAATGCAGATAAGTAACACCTACCCTAAGAGTTTTGTAAAAGATTCAATGAAATCATGTATGTGAAGTGTTTTAGTGTGGTGTCTGGCACATAGCAGCAAGGAATGAACAGCAGTCAGCTAGCCCGAGGCTACACACTGCATTGGCAGCTTCCTGGCTCCCACCCTAATGTTCTTTTGAATACTGCCCTTCACCTCTTCAAGTTTTCACAAATGTTTATACTAGAAGTGGCTCTTTCTGTACCTCTTCCAAAAGCTGTGGTCAAAGACCTTGGCATAGGGAGCATTGCAATCAATTCCTTCTAGAAGGTGGTGCCCAGAATTATCTCGAGCTGGGAGACAAGCTGGCGTACTGTGAGCACCACAGTATTAACCTACGAAGCCCAGGCTGCATCTTCCACTTCTCTGGAATCTTTGCCTCTCCTCCTATCCCAGCTGACACTCTGCCCCATGAATGCAGACTGATAGAGGGAGTACAGTGATAGGTGCGGGAGTCTCCACCTCCTTCTCTCAGCCCTATGGGGATCCAGAAGAGCAATGGCCAGAGTGTGGGTGCGGAGAGCCTGTGGGCCCTTATCATCCTAAACCATCTCCTAGGGAAGCATCAGAGAGCCAGAGATTGGATTTGATGCTTCAGGCACAGCAAGTCTTGCATTTTCCCTGGACTTTGCAAACTTCCAGATAGTTTTTATCTTTTTTTTCCTCCTGAAACTCCTACAGGAAAGTAGGGTGGGGATTAAACTCTGACACGGAGGACAGCCAAAAACCTCCCTTGACTAGCTCTTTGGGGCAAAGACCTCTCACTCTGCTGGACTTTGGTCTCTAGCATCTGGCCCTCACCCAGCACCTGGGGCCCTAGGAGGTCACTAATGTTTACTTATCAGAAAATTCACTCTTCTAAATTGTGCAGCTCAGTAATGTGAACGTGGTGCACCCATCACCAATTTCTAACTCCAGGACATCACTCCCCGGGGATTTGTCCCTGCATTTCTGATGAAACAATCCTACCAGTAGTCTAGAAAAATAATAGCTAATATTTATTGAAAACAAAGTGTTTTGGATAGCTTCTGAAATTTATTTTCCCACGGGTCCTCCAAGGTTTTATTCTTCTGCATTTCACAGATAAGCAAACTGAGGCTCACAGGCTAAGAACTTAGGCAAAATTCACGCAGCTGGTAAAGCCGAGGAGCTGGGCTTTGACCCTAAAGCCAGAAAATCCCTCAGCAGGGCATCATTCCCAAGGGAGCCAGAGGTCACTGAGCAGGCAAAAGAGAGTCTCAACTGTGAGTCAAGCAAGCATTGGAAATTTAACTGGACATATGCCCTGGCCCTGTGGGAGACAGAGCTACACAGAGGGCTACAGCCTGCCCTGGGGCTTGGGAAAGTCAAGGAATATTTCTTGGAAGCTCTGGGCCTCAACAGATGAAACGGATTCCAATGGGCAGGATGCAAAGGCAGGACTAAAAATCACAGCACAAACCTGAAGCCAGGAGAGAGCAGAGGTGTGCAGTGGCCCCATGGCAGGCTTGGGGCACAGCATGTCAGAGCTGCTAGCCATCTCCAAAGACCTACCCCAAGCCATGAAAATCAGGGGAGATGTCTGTCTCTCAACACCTTGGCCACCAGAGGACACCTTGATCCAAGAGAGGGAAGAGGGGCTTGGTGCACCCCTCTTGTGTGCTTTCTGAGGCAGGTCACTCCACGTCACTCCTCTCCTTGCACTCAACGGTGCCCATGGCTTTGGAACTTAACTTCAGGGCTCCTTGCCTAACAAAGGACTTTTTCTTTTTATTCCTCACCCGAGGATATTTTTTCCTTTGCTTTTCAGAGTGGAAGGTGGGGAGAGAGAGAGAAACATCGATGTGAGAGACACATCGATTGGTTGCCTCTGCATGCACCCCAACCAGGACCGGGGATCGAGCCTATAACCAAGGTAAGTGCCCTTGGCCGGAATTAAACCTGGGACCCTTTGGTCCATGGGCCGACACTTGAACCACTGGGCCAAACCCACTAGGGCCAAAGGACTTTTGTCTGAATCTCCAGGAGCCAGAGGTCGTGGAAGGACCAGTTGGTGTGAGAACATCCTGTGAGATCACACTGCACTGAGAAAGTGGGACAGAAAAGGTGTTTCTGTGCCTGGTGCCTGTTTAGTCTGGATTCAAGTCTCAAAAAAAAAAGGAAGAAAAAGACTGATTTACACGAGTTCCTGCCATAGGTCCCGTTTATTCCCAGACCCCAAACAGACACATGCTAACCCCACCCCCACCCCTGCCAAGATCCCCGAGACCCACTGTCTGAGCTGGAAAATTAAGGCACTGTGTCAGAGTGCCCCTGTGGGTCAGCGACACCTGACATATGCAGACCCGGGAGCCCTGCCTCTCAGGACTCTGCGCCCCGTAGGTCTGGCAGGGCAGGGAGGTGTTCCTTCCCTTCTCTCTGGTCTTCAGAGCGGGGCCTCTGCCGAGGTTTCCTGAGGAGGCGCCAGTGCTGTCACCTGCTAATCCTGACAGAGAGTGGAGGAGCCAGAGCCCAGTGAAGCAGCTGCTCCAGGTGGCCAGTGGCCATCGGGAGAAAGGGCACACACTAGAACCCAGGGCTGAGCCTGCCTTCCAGCCAACATGTCTGTCAGGACCAGGGCTGTTGTGCAGTTGTGCTGGGCTCCCCAGATGGGGAATAACAGAGCTGAGTCTACTGCCAGGGGCAGAGGGAGGTGGGGGCTGAAGAAAGCACCCCCAAAGGGGCTACCGGCTTAGAGGCCCCTGAGGCTGAAGACATATCTGATCTGGACTCCAGAGCCAAACAAGGCAGGTGGTGACGAGGAGACTGCCCGGCTGGGGCGCACCGCTGGGGCGGGATCCTGAGGCTGCCATCGCCTTAGCACTTCCCATGGCATAAAATGGTCGCTCTTCTCTCCAGAGGGTGACACAGACTCAGAGCTTGCTCCGAGGGGCCTTGGCCAGGGGCCGCTGCAGCCGCCATACCACCCTCACTGGCTCAGCAGCATGGTCCAGCTCTCGGAGGCCGCCAAGGTCGCCCACCTGGCTGTACCGCTGCAGGGCCGGCTGGAGCACGGTGATCGGAATGCTGAAGTTCAGGTGCGGGTAGGTGGCCCCTGTGTTATTGTCCCGGGTGTTGCTGGCGACAATCCCTGTTGAGTCAGAGAGGAAAAGAGGGCGTGAGCCAGGACAGAGACAGATGGGTGGGAAGCAAGGCCCATCTCTACCTTGGAAACCCTAGGCCTACTGGGGGCTTGAAGCCCCCTCATAGTGACAGATGCCAGACTTTCTTTCATGGACACCAGCTCCCCAAACCCTGGTCCCCCTTCCTGCCTTAACTTTCTCCTTAACACTATCAGTATCTCACTTGCTGTATATTTCACTTATTTTGTTCTCTCTCTCTCCAACTAGTGTCAGGTCTACAAGAGCAAAACTTTCCTGTTTTGTTCACGCAGCCTCCCAGACCTAGACTAGTGCCCAGCACAGAGGTGGCACTCACAAAAATCTTGCTGAGTGGATGAATCAATGATCAAACCCAAACACACTGTTTGGCCTGCTTAGTGCACATATGTGTGTGCAGGTATTTTTCAAACAACTTTAGACTTACAGAAGCCTTGCCAAAATAGTAGAGTTCCTGTATATCCTTCCTCCAGCTTTCCCTTCTGTTAATATCTTACGTCACCATAAAATATAGATCAAAACCAACAAATTAACCAATGCTATTAACTGAAGCACAGAACTCATTTGGATTGTACCAATGTTTTCATTAATGCTTTTTCTGTTCTAGGATGTAACTGAGTATCCCACACAGCATCTAGTTGTCACCTCTCCTAAGTCTCCTCCAATCTGAGCCAGTTCCACAGTCTTTCCTTATCTTTCCTGGCCTTGGCACTTTGAAGAGCGCAGGTCATTTATTTTGTAGAATGTTCCTCAATTTGGGTTTACCTGATGTTTTCTCAGGATAAGACTGAGGTTATACATTATTGAAAATACCAGAGAATCAACATGTCCTCAGTGCTTCCTATCAGGAGGTGTATGATGTCTGTAAGAATGACTTGTGATGTTAACCTTGATCACTTGGCTAAGGGTTATCTCCCAGGTTCCTCCACTGTAGACTCACTATATTCCCCTGTGTAAAGTACTAAATATTTTAGGGTTAGGCAGATATCCTGTTTCTGTTTAAACCATTGCCCACTGATTTTTAGCATCCATCAGTAGATCCTGTCTGCAGCAATTCCTACTGTGGTGATCCAAGTGATTTCCTATTTCCCTCATTTCTTCTGCATTTGTTAATTGCAGATCTGTTGCTTGTCTCCATTTTATTTGGTTATTTATTTATAGCAGTGTGGACACATGGGTATTCATTCTTTTCTTTGGGTTATAATCCAGTACTACTGCTATTTGTTTTGTTGCTCCAGTTGTTCCCTAGGAGCTCCTTCAAGTCGGCTCTTGGTTCCTTCAACATTTGACATTCCCCATCATATAATTTTGTTAGCATTTCCTTCCTTTCCAGCACCATAAGGCACACGAGGCTCATCTTAGATTTTCCTTGTCCCAGTCCTGGTATCAGCCAGCTCCCAGTTCCTCTTATTAGAGAATGGCTCTTAGAAACCAAGATCTGGGCTCTTGGTGTGCTCATTGCAACTGGGGTGTCATAGTGAGTGAGCAGAGCTGGGATATATATATTTATATTAACCCATGCATACATACACATATATGTCTATTTCTGTATGCACTTATCTGTATATATTTTTTAAAAGTCATGGTTGCTTGACTTTTATTTGTATACTACGGCTGAAGAAATAAGTAAATCTGTTGTAGCTAGCAAGAGCAAGGTCCCTCACTTTGGCAGAAAGCAGCCAGGAAGAAGAGAGGGGGAAGCATGCATGAACCCTGTGTTGGGCAGTTGGGAGTATCTATATGGATTCATATTGGCTGGTTTTTTTAAATAAACAGACCTTTTCTTAAAAACCTGAATTAGTTACCAAAAATTTAAAATTTATTTAACAACCATATATTTTTAAAAAGGTTCACAGCTTCTTGTGAAAACTTGGAGGTCAGCCAGTGTTAGCTCCCATTCCTTCATAATGTGAAAACAATGTGTTGGAGCTGAGTGGTGTTTACCGCGATTCACCCTTGACCTTCCACTCCATATTGTCTTCACTCACTTATTCATTCTCTTTACCTGCCCAGCCTCTGTAAGCTTTGGAGTTTGTCACCCTGGGACTAATCCAACTCCTGAGTCTCACAGATTGAATGAGATTAGGTGATTTACCCAAAGTCACACTGTGGCTTAGTGGCAGAGAAGGAACCAGAACCCAGATGTCTTCCCTCGCAGCTCAGCATCTGTCCCTTTCTACCCTCAGGAGCAGAATCGCCTGAAAACCTTGGCTAACTACTTCCCAGGCATAATGACACCATCTTCCCAGACATGGGGTGACACCAAGCACTCACTAAATGGGACTGAGGCTCTGGCAAGGGGAAGACTGGGAGAAGGCCAAGGAGCTGCTTACCCAGGAGGTCCCCTGAGCAGGTAGAGAAGAGGGGTCCCCCACTAGAGCCGCCATGCACAGCACATGTGGTCTGCAGCATCACTGGTGTGTCATCCACCTGCACCACAGCTGACAGGATGCCTGAGGTCACCGAGGGCCCGCAAACCTGGCCAAAAACGCCGAAGCCCACCACGCTGACAGCCTCGCCTGCCGGAGAGGGAAGGAGGGTAAAGCTGCAAAGCCTCCTCCTGTCTGGAAGGACTCACCCTCCCCAACCCCATCCCTGCCCTCCCCAAAGTTCCCAACACTCGGCCCTGGAGTCTCTGCTCAGATACTGCCATCAGAGAGCCTTCCCTAGGTCCCCACAGGAAGAGGCTGGGACCTCCACTGAGCTCCCAGCACTGCACCCACTCAACTATTTCTCAGCGTCAGGCTGTTCCCCAGCCCTCCATCCCCTGCTAGACTGGGTAGTCGCTTTTTGGAGTTTCTAGCACCTACTGGGTGCTCAATAAATGTTTGTAGAATTAACATCCACCTCCTCCTGGGACTAAGAAGTCTCTTGGTGAAAAAAATGGTGATGATGACTATGAAACCTTCCTTTACCAACTGTCTGAGCACACAGGGCATGGGGCCGAGTGTTCTACAGGCAACATCTCACTCAAGCCTCACAATGTCCAGGAGTAGAAAGCTATCCCCATTTACAGATGTGGAAACTGAGGCAGAGAACATCAGATTGCCTGTCCAAGGACACAGGGCTAGTAAGTGGCAAGAGATGCCAGCTCAGAGAGCTTGTGCTTTGTAGTTATATCACACTGCATACACAAAGTGGGACCTCTGGTACCTATATGGCAGCATCACAAAGCCTTTTATTCATATCACGCCACTGCAGCCTTGAAAGAGCACACCTCTCTGGCCAGCCTGCAGTTATAAGGAAGCTCCAAGGCTCAGCACCCCCATGCTACACAGCTTCAAAGTACAGGATGGAGGCACACCTTATGCTTCACTGGGAATTCCACCTGCCTCCCAGCACCTTGGGCATGCAGGGCACAAGGGAAGCCTCCAAGAACATCCCTGCTCAAAGCACTCTACCAGGATTTCATGCCAACTTGATGCCACCCTGACTTATCAGTCTAGCAGGAGTGGGAAGTTGGCCTGGGGGACTGGCTCCCTCATCTGCAGGGTTTGAGTGTCCAACACTGACTTTCCTTCCTAAGGTCCACCCCAGATCAGCAGGCCCTCTGTCCTTTACCTTCATGGAAATGTTTAGTGGGCACAGGCATGTGGACACCTTCTAGTTCTTCCTCCAGGCTCACCACAGCTATGTCATATGGAGATGTCTCCTGAGTGGCAAACACTACATGTCCCCAGATCTTGGCACTCCTAGGAGCAATGGAAACAAAATTTCAGGCTAGCTTTCTGACCCTGCAGTGCTGGGAAGAAGCTAGGGGATGAGTGACAGTAAAAGCCATGGATTTAGGAGTCAAAAGATCTGGTGTCAGCCCTGAAACCTACCAGGCCAGCAACTCTGGGCACGCCATTTATCTCTTCTGCAGGTTTCCAAACATACTTTACCAACTGCAAAGCTTCCTGCATGTCACCATGATCACAGACACCTGATACCTAGCAAGCATGGTGGGCCAGGCCTAGTGTTAACACTCTATAGACATCATTCATTCACAGCATCCCTATGAACTAGGCACTGATATTATCTCCATTTTAGATGGTGCATTTAAGACCCAGAGAGGCTGAATAACGTTCCCAAGATCACATAAGTGGTAGAAGTCAGAGCAAAATGTCCAGCAATTTCCTTCAGACTCATTTGATATGGACAATCCTGTCAATTGGTGGGGCAGGCATGATATAATTTCAACCCTCTGGGTCCTTATTTACATAAATGCAGCACTTCAACAGCACTCTGTTCCAAGACTATACATGTCAACTCAAGGTGAGGCAGCTTAGACAGATTAAGTGACTTGCCCAAGATCACACAGGGGCTTCCAGCTGCATACTCTGCAAGGGTTGCTTCCAGCAGACCTGGTGTTTTCTTAGGAGCAAGAGTGGGGTGGGGGTTGAGGTAACTGGGACCACACAGACAGGGAATTTCTCATCAGTCATGGCTGTCCTGTTGGCTGCCAGTGGGTACCTCTATGGCAAAGCCAGGCTGGGTTAACCTCGGAAACTGAGTAGAAGGATTTTGAAAGGCCTGGGCTGCCAGGCTGCATTGAGCCAGATACAGGAGAACATCAGGCATTAACACCAAGGTGCTATCCTGCTTTGTTTTGGCCTAAGTTAAGCACCTGAAACTACAGAGGAAATAGAAAGAACATGTAGTAGAAAATCAAGCCAGGAAGCCAAGGCCACTGTCTCCACTGCCAGAGCAGGTGGGAGGGCAAGGGTAGTTTTCCCTGCAGAGAGGAAACAAATGACTGTCTAAAGTCCCAACCTGGCTGGATCACCCAAAGATTGTTCAGAATCTATCTGCCTGGGCCCCACTCCCGCATTCTAATTAGGTGGAACTCCACACCTATAATTTTGATCCAGAGGGAAGCTCTGGTTAAGGTCTACAAGATAAATAAGGTGAACAGGCCCAACT